TATTTTGTGTATATATATATATATATATATATATATATATATATATATATATGTATGTATATGTATGTATGTATATATGTTTATATTACTATTTTTATATAAACGCTATATTATAAGCACTCCATCATAAGTTTATAAGTGTGAATATATTTTGGTGTTGCTTATGCACTGTGTTCGTTGTTCACTGCTTGCAGAGTCAGTATAAACTAGCATTAGCAGATGGAGAGGTGGAAAAACTCAAAGCTAAGGTAATAGCATAAGATATAAAATTTTATTTAAAATGTTATTTATTGTATATATTTATTTGTTGATGCAATATGCTTGTATATCATATACTTACAGTTATGAATTTATGTGCAGCTTAATGTATGTATGTCAAATTTGTTATTATTTTATATAGTTTTTATGTTTCTAATACATAAATAATATTATAAATATTATAAATAACATCTATAAATAATATTAAAAAATATAAAATGATTTATTGAAAAACATTAAACTAATATGTTTTATTTACGTAATACTTATATATATACTATTAATATATTTATATATATTATTTATAATAAAATTTTTTGTTTATAGCTTGTAGACTTAGAAAATAGTGGAGCTGGAAGCGAAGAATATGCAGCAAAATTGCGCGAATCTGGTTTACGACTTCATGAATCTGAAAGAGCTTTAGGCACTGCTAAACAAGATTTAGTAACGGCACGAGAAATGCTCTCTCAAGCAACAGCACAAAACGCTGCTTTACAACAAAAATATGCTCGAGCCAGAAGAGCAGCTCGCGAATTACGCACAGATATCGCTGCTAGAGATGAATTTTATCAACAATTATTACAGGAAAAAGATACAGAATATAATGCTCTTGTTAAAAGTTTAAAAGATAGGGTATGTTATCATTAAGAAAATAAGAAAATTAGAATAATTTATATATAATAAAAAAATTAATTATAAATAATTATAGGTAATTACATTGGAAGTAGAACTAACAGAAACACAACGGAGATTTGGATTACCAGTAAGATTGCCTTATGATGGAACTACGGCTAGAATTGTTACACCACAGTTGTCGCGCCGACAATTACCTCCCCCTCCTTCATCAACTAGTTGTCAACTTTCAGATACAGAAACAGATCTTAGTAGTCCGGATGATGGTGATAAAACAGCAACAGTTGAAAGAAAATTACCGCTTCCATTGCCAGTCAAGGAAGAATTAGATCGAGCAGTACCTGCACATCGACTACTTGACAATTCAGCTGGAAAAAGTAAAGCTGAACTTGCTAGTAGAGGAGGACTCGCAAATCGACAACTCCCTAAACGATCTGGCGGTCTTAGTAATAGTAGTTCTGTATGTAATATAATCATTAGTATATGTAGAAAAATTATATATTTATTTAATGATATTAATGAATTATATATTTTTTTAATGATTTAATATTTCAGGATTATGGTTTGGATGAATCAGGTGACAATACTGATGAGGATTCATCTTCTAAATTACTTTCACAGGACACAAGTAGCAGATCACCAAACGATTTAACATCAAAACAATCAAATTTGAGTTCCTATTCTAGTAGTTCTTCAATTAGTTCATTGAAAAGTAAACATATGGAACCTACGCATCCGACAACAATTCGACAACATAGTACTATTAGTTCACAAGTTAGAGCTATGACAGAACAAAGTTGGCCACAATCTCAAAAAAGTATTTCTTTTTTTTTTTCTTTTTTTGGATTTTTGTTATTTTTTGGATATAATTTATATGTAACTTTAAATATAAAGTTATTATCTATTCTTCATAGATTTAACTGGACCACCAGCATCATTTGCAGAGCAGTTAAAACAAGTTTTAGCAGAAAGAGAAAGACGGCTTGGTGGAAATGACATATCTTCATCGAGAGAAAGTTCTGGAGACTTTAGTGATTTAAATAATCCACATTCTAGTGATCCAACTTTAGTTACTCATCATTTAGTAGAAGAAATACGACAAGCTGTAAATGAAGCCAATCAAAGAGGTAAAATTTTATAATATATCTAATATGTTTTTAATTTATTCAAAATAATTTTTTATAGTGAATTTTTTATTTATATAGTAAAAAAAGCCACTATTCCTTCATCAAATTTAATTGGTAGCAGTACACCTTGGCATCATCCAGGTAGTTCACCATCTAGTCTTTCTTCTGGTGGATCAGTGAGCCCACCTGCTGTTGATCCTAGTCCATCTAAAACAGGTACTTTAAATATTTATGATACAATGCAAACAATAATTCACAATCTATTTTTTTTCTTTATATATATATATATTATTCATTATATATTTTTCATTATATTTTTCATTATATTTTTCATTATATTTTCATCTTTCCTATATGCACATAAATATTATTAATTTAGATACGAGTGAAGTTTGGTTGCCTCCTCATCCAAGTGAATTTGGTTTAGGTGACAAAAAGTCTCACTTTTGGCAGAATGCACCAGTTACTGATTGGTCCAAAGAACAAGTAAGTTATATATATATATATTTAAAATTACTAAAAAAAATATTTTTATCAAAATTCCATAGATATTATTTTGTTTATATTTATTACTTGAAAAATTTTATTAGGTTTGTCAATGGTTATCAGGAATTGGTTTGGAACGTTATGCATCACGCTTTCTGGAAACTGGAATTAATGGTGGAAACCTTTTAAGACTTGAATCTCGTGATCTCAAAGCTTTTGGTATTTGTGGAGAAGAAAAATCACATTTGAAACGTAAATTGAAAGAACTTAGAGCACAGGCAGACCGGGAACGCAAAGAAAGAAAAGAAATAGAACGAATGCGACGAAAAGCAGAAAAAGCAGCACGAAAAAAATAGTTCGTGCGTATATTAATGTACTTATGTCCTTTATAAAATGCAATAACTTTGCACAAAAAATTGATAACATATTCAAATTTTGTGTATGATATTCCAGTGATGTTCATAATTTTCACTTCTTCCTTTATTTAATTATCTAGTAAATGTAAACACCCAGTCACAATTTACTAAATGTTTCCAATTCGGATTTGTTCTATCCGAAATTTTTAAATTTGATTATTTATATTTATAAGTTTTTGAACTTCAAATTTTTGCATTTATTTATAATATACATATTGCTTTACATTCATGTTGTTCTTATAGTATTTGTTAGTTATTATTTATAAAATAACAATAAATACAATTCGAAGAAGAGAACATGTATGAATGTAAAAGCATACTTACTATTTCAATGTATGCATGTGATACGTATGTATAAAATTCAAGCCATTTAGATAAATTGTAATAAAACTTCAATTATCGCTAACATTTTTTTTACAATTGTAAGTATACTTTTATAGAGATATAAGTTTTATGTTATTAGAATGTATCATTTCTGTATTTATTTTTACTATTAACTATGTAACAATTTTTCATAATGAATAATATAAATATTAGTAAAATACAATCCTAGTGCATAACAATTGTCAAGAAAAGTGATTGTTCTTTGCTATGTACATCATGAAATATCAACGAATTTGTAATTATCAATACAGTATTTAATATTGTATCAAATCAGTTTATAGATTAATTGGATTATAAAATAATTTTATTTGTTTATATTTTTTTTGTCTAAATTTGTCAGTTTATATTTCATGTAATTAGCAAATTATCGCTTTTTTAAATCAAAATCAAATAAAGTATTAATGAATTTCTATTATATGATTATGATACGATTATATGATATGATATGATTATGATTATGTATTAAAATTTTTCTCTTTTAATTGTTTAACAGTGTTTGTAAAATTACTATATTAATATGTGAATTAAGCATTAGAAATCCGCACAAAGTCCATTTTGTTGTATTGATAATTTTTAATTTATGTGATGAATTCTTTTTGTATACTTCAGACATTCCATGCGATAGTTTTTAATTTTATCTTTATATATATATATAAATAAAAGAATATCACAAGCTCTTATACTTTGGGCGATATCTCTATGTATGCGTGAATGTTGTATGAATATCTTGCGTATTAAGTAATACATGTTAATATTAAACCAATGTCCTAACAAAAGTTCATTCTAAATATTTGTTCACATGATTATGGGACTTGCTTGGGTACAACATAGACAAACGTACTGCATTGTACGTATTCTTATTTATAATAATATTAAGTTTTATACAGTGTTAAGTACTTTGTTCTATCTTTATACTGTTCTTAATGAACAATATATTTTTTTTTTTTAAAGAACAATTTCTTTTATATAAAATAATTGAACAAAGTATTTATCATTGATACATATATTGTACATATTATACAATGAATGATTACTATTACTGTAATCTATAAAAAATGATTATGATGTAAGGCGTGTAAGAGGCATAACTATAGTGTCATAATATCTTTATAGAAGATAATTTTTAATTTCCTATTTTAAACGTTTATCAAAAGTCCTCCATTTTTTAATAATATTATGTATCACAATATTTCGAAAGTAGTTATTGTTATTTTTGTTATTATGTACAACGAACTGTGGGAACTGATCAAAAGTGTCAACATAATATAACATTCTTGCTTCTCAGGGTAATCATTAATATGTTTTTGAAATATATGCGTGTTCAATAAATTTAAAATTTTTAAGAATTTGAACGTCCTGCAATTCGTTTCTAAATAATTATTGTGATTTCGTAGGAGCAAATGTTTGATAAAAACCGACTGATTTACAATAAGTTTTTATAGTTGATTTTCAAGCAATGGCTTGAGTATGATATGATATGCCATTTATTCAAAAATAATTTTAGAACCAAAACTTGTACTTCTTTATGGAGTTGCATAATATTTAAATGTTTTCATACATTTTCAATGATTTTAAAGTATTGCTCACAAGAGAAAAATTATAGTTCCATAGATAAAGACACAGAATGCAGAATCAGTTGCATAAATGGCAGCTTTTTAATAATATCTATAAAAAGTATTGTCAACAAATACTCTTAAACGTTTTAATTAAAAATAATTCATACTATATATTCGTAGTTTGTTTTTTTTACCTGATAAATAAAATATTGAAAATAAAATATTTGACGTTAATATACATATATTATATGTATATATATTTAGATAAATTTTATTGATTATAGATATTAAAAATTTTTATATATGAAATGAATCATAAATATAACAATAGAATTTTATCTTTTGTTGTATTTTTTATCATATATACACATTCACATAAAGTAATATATCGCAAAATGTTTGATCGATAGTCGTTAGTATTTCGATAGTACGTTTAATTGAAAAAGACGTTGATCAAGAAAATGCCAGCTATAATTATTAAAGATTATTCTTGGCGTCAAACTTCAGAATTTGTTATATTAAATGTACCTTTAAAAGGATATCCAAAGAAAGTTGATTTATTTGTGATAGATAATTATATAAAGGTATAAATTCCAATTTCTAACAAAAATATATTATATCAATTAAATATAAAGAAATAAATATCATACAATGTTTGATTTAATAACAGATCAGTTTTCCACCATTTATATTAGAATTATTTCTTTTTGCTAATATTGTTGAAAAAGAAAGCAAATGCATTTTAACGGAAAATGAAGCAATACTTACCTTGCGTAAAACGAATATTAATTTGCAATGGCCTACTTTGGAAATTCAAGATATTAATAATGATTTTAAACGACAGTACCGTATTCAAGTTTTAGAACATGCTCAAAAGCACGCTGAAGAAAGAACAAAATTTAAAAATGGTATGTAAAATTTGATATATAAATATAAATATAATGATTTTTTCTAATAGTTTATAATTTAATTCAGAAAAGCGTCAATATTTACAAAAAGAAGCGGTAAAAGAACAAATTAATATTAATACAGACACATTGAATAGAATAGAAACAATACGAGATACACATCGGAAAGAAGCAATGCAGGAATTTGAAGATTGGAGATCGAAAGCTGAATTACCATTTCTTTCTAATATTGACGGGAAAGCACAAGAAAATAGAAAAGCTTATAAGTACTAAAATTAATAAATATCACAATTTTTTTATATATTTTAACTTCGATAAGTAATTTTCTAATTTTATTTTTTCAAGACCACCGTTAAAATGGTTTAAAAATAAAGATAATACATTAAAATCTCAATCAATTACCGAGAAAGAAATATTTAATAATACAACCATTATAAAAGAATTTGAAACTAATATAAAGAATGATGAACAGATTTCAGAAATTCAATTAATAAATAAGAATCAAGAAAGTAATACTGAAACAGAAATAATAATAAAGGAAGAAGATAATAAAAATAACACTAGTTGCTCTGAAGAATCTGAATCAGATTATGAAACTTCATCTCATTGTTCAGTACAAGAAATGAACAAAAATGATATAAAAAAATTTTATAATAAAAAACAAAAAAGACCAGGATTGGAAACTGTAAAAGCTGCGATAAGAGGTAACATTTTAAAAAGAAATAATATATTTGAAGAACCTTCAAAATCGGTACCGTTACCAAGAAAAATGGGTATAATCAATATCACATTTTCGGAACGAAAGTTTCCAACACCAGCTAGGGAAAGTTCTCATGTCGAAGAACAAGAAGTATTATTTTTATTTATTATTGATTATTGATTATTAAAATAAAAAAATTCTATTAATATTGATTTTATTATAGTGGTTGCAGAAACAGGCAGAAGCGAGGCGTAAAATTGGTTTTGATGCAAAAGATCTTCGACCAGAAGAACGAGATCCCCAATGGTTAAAGGATAAAGGAGAGTATGTTTAATGCTTTGATAAAATTTCATATAAATTATTATGAATTATATAACTAATAAATTATTTATGATTATTTTTTTAGTGAATTTTTCAAAGTTGGAAATTATTTAGCTGCTATAAGTGCTTATACGTATGGAATTAAGATTAGTGATAAAATGGCATCTCTCTATGTAAATAGATCAGCAGCACAATATGCATTAGGCAATTATCGTAGATGTATAGAAGATTGTTCTAAAGTAAGTCATGAAAATTGTAATTTATTCAACTTATATGTATAAATAAGAATTATATATGTATAAATAAGAATATTTTAATCTTCATTTTATTTTTCAGGCATTAGAATTAATGGAACCAAAATGTGAAAGCAATCAAGAATCAAGGGCCAGATGTCACGCTCGACGAGGTGCAGCATTTTGTAAATTATCAGCTCCTCAGCATGGTATTCCTGAACTAGAAGCTGCTTTGAAATTAACACCGGATAATGAAAGTATAAAACGTGACGTATTGGTCGCAAAACAATATTTCGATATAAAAGACTAATTATAAGAAGTAAGTAAAATTAGATTATTTGACTAACTAAAAAAGTTGATGAGACGTTTTTTGTAAGTTTTTGAACAAAACATAAAACAAAATATTGTAGAAATAAAATGTTTAAAAATAAGAAATTATATTAAAAATAAGAATTAAAAAATATTTATTAATATATTATAAAAAAACATAGAATGTTTATTATTATTAAAAATATCACAGTCAAAAATCTTATAAAGAAATTTAATCGAGGAACTCATAATTCTATATTAATATTAATTAATTGTATTATTTAATTCTATTTAATGTAATAAACATTATTTTGCTATATTTAAACTTCTTTAGCAAAAAACTAAATAACTATTTATAATATTAATAATAACAAAAATTTTTCATCATTACTTTAAGAAAAATTTCAGAAAGAATTAATCAAATTTTATAATTTTTTTGTTGATACATCCACATTTTGTATGTTCTAAAGCATGTATCACTTCGTGATGCCTATCACGTTGTCGATCAATCATGTGTTTCACCATAAAAACAAGACTAACATTTCTAGTTTCAACAGGTGCACAAATTTGTTTATAATCCGAACAACATCCGGCTCCATCACAACGTTTTAGAACAGTAGAAGCAGGATAAAAAACTTCGTCAGAATTAGGACCAACAGTAAGAAGTTCTGCAACTGGTACAGCTCTTGGTTGAGGCATGGAACATCGAAATTCATGTACTAATTGCACATGACTCAAAAATCCATTATCCCTGAAAATTAAATTGATTACTTCAATGAATCTGTCAAAGTTATGTGATAATATATATATATATATATATATATATATGTATATATATGTATATAATATAATTTACCTATGATATTTGCCGATCGAAGCAAAAGTGAAATGAATAGAAAATAACAATAGAATATATTTTTTCATTTCTTTTCAATATTAAACAATTATTAAGTTATTATATTAAATGTAAATGTACGTTTGCTTAGATCTCATTCACAATTGTCTGGGACTAAGAACTGCGACTATTCTTCTGCGATCTGAATTCTTTCTTCCTCTCTATATATATGTTACTTTCATCCTCGGCCCGATGCCCTCTGCATCCCCCTCTTTTTCTGATTTCTCATCTTCTTTCTTCGTTGATCCACTTTTCATCTTATTGTTTTGTCTCATTCTATGGTGTTTCATATTGTCTCTCTCTTATTTCTTGGTAAGCTCGAGGAGGATTTGAAGCAAAGCATTCCAAGAACATCACGAAGATAATTATAATTACTAGTGGGTCCTGCCTCCTGTTCGAACTAAACCATGTTACGTCGCGTGACTAGTTCTCCTTTCCTCGTCAATTGGTTCTTCTTTCTTTCATTTTCTCCTTTCATCGTATTTCTTCTTTCTTTTTGCACTTTGAATCTGAAATTTCGATCAGTCATCAACCGATTTTTCATTTTCTTTTTTGAACATCAATTGTATGGTACTGTTCTTCATGCATCGATTTTTTTATCGAATTTTTTTATTTATGAATAATTCTGATAAAAATTGTCAGTAATTTTATTTTTATTTTGTATTAATTTATTTTATTTAAAATTCTATAGACTATTCATAATATATTGTATAACAAATTTTTTTTTAATTTATAAATTTGTAAAGGGATCAAAAGAATTACATAGAATGTTTAATGTAATATCGTGGTATGAAATATTTCAACTTTCCCTGATTTGGAGTATTCTATGATGTAATAGATTGCAATGAGTCATTATAGACAATTATCTACAGAGTATCTAATTATAAAATTTATTTTTAATATTCTTTTCTTTTTTTCAGAATGATAAATAAAAAAAAAAGTTTATATGACTTTTTTTTAAACATATAATATATTCGATTGTGACAAATATTATGAAAGGTGAGAGTAAGCATCGGTTGCCTAAATCGAAACTCATGTTACACGAATATCCGTTAACAGTTATTCATGGAACTGACTTAATAGTATACAAAGAATTACGAATCCATGAATTGCAAATTAAATTTTATGTCTAGATAATATATTTCATATAATTAATAATTTTAAAACTGATTATTATAGATCATCAATACTGGAGAAGATTATATTTTGTTGTATCTAATCAAAGTTTTCTAATTAATCATTTTAATCTTATATTAAAAATTATCAAATTATGTGACTTTTGACACGTATCATTCATTTAATATCTCATTCTTATTTAGCTATCAATTAATCTCATTAATATATTTATATTATATATAAGATAAAATATTATGATAAAATAATTCAAATAATTAAATAGTATGTTTTATTTATAATATTATTAATAAATTTCTTTTGGAAATAAATGGAATTTCAAATAAACATAATCAAAGTGCAGTTATGAAGGACATTCCTATTACATCAATTGAATTGGTAATTATTTAAGGTAATCGTCACATATATTTCTATTATTAATCATATGTTTTGTACATATAAATTATAGTATCATAATAAATACGTTCATATATTTCAAGAAAATTTTTTTTAAATCAAAAAATTGATAAATAAAATATTTGAAGAAATATAATTAAAAAAAGATTTAAAAAAATAAATAAAAAACAAAATAAAATATATGGCAAATTTGAAATAGAAATTTTTTTTAGTTAATGATTCCCGATTAATATATAAATTTTTGATAATATAAATATTCTATAGTTATTATACTGTTATAATCTATAATATTAATATTTAAAAATTAAAAATTTCAATTTCAAATTTTCTTCATAAAAATTTTTGAAATTATAATAATGCAAATTATTTTAATTTCTTTTTATTCTATTTCTTATTATTAAAACTCATTTCTGTTATTAACATGTTTCAGATATGAACTTGTTGTAGTAATTAATTGTTAGAAAGTCAAAATTTCTCTAAAAAAAATCTCAAAAATTCTTCATATGTAAAAATCAAGAGCAATCGAATTGAATTCGATTATATTTCGATTATAATTCGATATATATTTTTTAATAATGATATTTATTAATGTTTATTAATAAAGTTTCTTATTAGATGGATAAGAATATAATTGCCTAATTTTATAAGAACTAATGATTTCTTAAAATCATATTAGAAATCATACACATATAATACATAAAGAAAGAAAAACATAAGAAAACTTAACTTATCTGGAAAAGTATGAGAATTCATTATTTTATAATTTTAATTATCATAATTATATTTCTACGAATTAAATATATTTAAATAAAACTGATACAATAAATATAAAACGAAATCAAAAATAATTAATATAAAATAAATAAATAATAAATATATACTTAATGTTAAAAGTAAGTCTGTTTTATTTTATTAGAAACTGAATATAAAATATATTTTTTTACATATAAAATATTTTTTGAATATAAAATATATTTTCTTTAAATAAAAAATAAAAATCAATATAAATATATAAATGTATAAATGTATTGAAAAAGAAAAGTATGTTCAAAAAATTAAAATATTTATATATATTATATATATATATTACAAATACGAAAAAATTAAAAAAAAAAACAAATATTTATTCAATTAAATCCACATTATAAATAGTTCAATAATTCAAAATATATTTTAAAGAAATCATTACGAAAAATTGATTTCATTTCAATTTTTTTTTTTACATTAAGTATTTTTTGTGAAAAAATTTTGAATCATCAAGTTCATATTTCTTAAAATTTCAGAATCGCAGCTTACAATTGATTTTAATATATATACAAATTATAAATATATAAATATAAATTTTTATGTGAAGCAATAAATTATTTAATACAATATTAAGTTCCTAAAATATTTATTGAATTTAAATTCTCAATGAATCATATCAATGAGTCAATTGTACTTTCCAGAGAAAAAGAAATCACATCCAGGTAAAAATATCCAGAATTTTTAATAATATTAACTTTAAGTTTAATGTTATAAAAAATAAAAATAATTTATGTGATAAAAATATTTAATGTGATAAAAAATATAAATATTTATAATAAAATTATAAATATATTTAATTTTAATTTATAATTTCAATAAATAACAATGAAATTTTATTTCCATATTTTATACGATCTTATTTATATCATTGATTCATTGAATTACATATAATACGTTTACTTAATATCGATAAAAATATTAAATATATATTGAAAGTTTCGTATATATAAGTGATAGATTATTCTAATAACGTATCAGCAGAAGAAAAGTCGAAGTTCGACTTTGATATAAGCATTTACATCTTCTTATCAAAAAGTTAGTCGATTGTATTGGAAAACATGTTGAAGATCGTGACGAATTACAAGAATTTATTGTGTAAATTTACATTTGAAAAATATATAAAATGGAACAATATTTATAGAATGAAACTCTATTTATTACATATTAAATTATAATGTATATGTAATATGTAATATAATTTCAAGATTAAGTTTTGAGATAAAATTAAGAATGAAATCCATGATGCATAAGGTAGAAACCATGATGATTTCTATTCATCAGGATATTTCAAGTGATTAAGGAATCGCATGAGTAAATGTTACCACAAAATCAAGATTAGGATATTGGATTTACGTGCGCATGAATCTCTATCGATGTGTATCATATACCTTGCGTAGACTATGTATGCAAGTTCTTCCATAAGTATAAATACACTTCTGGCAACAGGAAAGTCTCAGTTGAACGTCTCTTGATACGACTACGTGTCAGTGATTCATATAATTTGACTAAAAGAACATATTTCAAATATGTTCATCAAGTATCGCGCCATAGAATTTAAATTTATGAACGTATTCCTAGTGAGTTAAATTTTCAGTTTAAACGAGTTGTGAATAAAACTAACTATAGTGATATAAATTAAATAAAAATTATAGAACAAATTAATAGAAACGAGGCATGAAAAATAAATTTTCTTCACTAAAGTTAATGATATTCATTTTGTTGATCTTGGACAGTATGGTCCAATCAGCGGTAACAAATAGCGATAATCATCATAGAATAATCGGAAGAATTACTTTATCAGATGCAGTAAAAGCATCCAAAACATTTGTTTGTAAAAAACCACAATTTCGGGCGTATAGTTTAAAAGATTTGATGCAAAATATTCATCAGAATCCTGGAGAAAGTCCTATTCAACCTGTTTACATAGTTCTAAAGAGATGTGACGGACATTCTGGATGTTGTGCGAGTCCATTAATGAGCTGTTCACCTGTAGAATCGGCGATCTATTACGAAGAGATTGAAATCGAAGTTTGGAGTTTGGAAACTAATAATAACAGAAGACAATGGATTAGAGTGGAACAACATGATAAGTGCTCCTGTGAAATTACCACGATCAATGATCGATATCAATTTGAACATTTACAGCCTAATGTAACTTTAATTTGATATTAATTGATCAGAGCAGCTAAAGCAAAACATTAAAAACTGAATGTTTTTTGCATAACAAATTATAAATGTAATTGACAGTATTGATTTATAAGAAACATAAGACTGCTAATGAATTAAAATAATTAAAAATATTGCTATTTCTTTTGGTTTTGCTTAATTTTTTAAATATACTGGTTTAATTTGATATAAATATGT